CACACAAAAAAAACATCAGCCTTCCTTCCTCCCCAATCTCCAACCCTCACCCCCACCCCAACACCCACACGTAGACCTAGGGTTTGGCTCCCATGGATTAAATTTTGTTCCATCACAAAGCACAAACCAAAATTCAAAGAGAACACACACACAAAAACATCAGCCTTCCTTCCTCTCCAATCTCCAACGTCGAAGGGGTTGGGTTTTCCTCAACCCAAAGGGCCTGGAGGCAAAAATGGCTACCCCTCCGAGCCCACCGCCACCACCACCTGCCACTAATTCCTCCGCGCCCCCTTTCAAAACCAACACCCCAAGCCCAAACCCCCACGGCGCGCCGGCCGCGAGGGCGCCCTCCTCACCGGCGGCGGCGGCGGCGCCGCCGCCGATGTCCAGTGGCCCATCCCACCTCGTCCTTTGCGTGCGCGACGTCATCGGCAAGCTCCGTGCTCGCGGGCACCTGTCGGGGCTGCAGATCCCGGACGATGAGCTCACGGAAGCGGGCGCCCCCGCCTTGTTCGACACCGTGCTCGCCGCCTTCCTCGCCAAGGGGCGATTGTCTGCCGGGCTTCCGTTACTCCCGAAGCCTCTTGTGCTCGGGAAAGGCGGCTTGGTGGACATGCTCCCCTTGTACCTCGCCGTGCGCTCTCGCGGCGGATTCGCTGCGGTCACCTCATGGGCGGCCATCGCCGAGGCGGTAGGCCTCGAACCGGCTGCTGATGCGCCCATCAAGCTGGTGTACGCCAAGCATCTTTGGCTCCTTGAGCAGAGCATCGGCAAGCCTGAAAGCCAGGACGAGGTGGCCGGGAGCAGTCGCAATGCGGCCCACCGCTCGAACGCGAAGAAGGATAAGTTCCTGTCGTCACACAAGGACCACACAAGCGCCGGATCAGCCCATCTGAAGCGTAAGAGGGAGGTTCCTCTGCAGATGCTTAACTGGGTCCGCCTTGTCGCGAAGAATCCGGGTGATCATGGCGCTGGACAGAATCATGGCAGCCAACTCTCCTCGACGCTTATGTTCCGTCGCCTGATGTTTGAAAATATCGATTGCAGCAAATTGCCCTATAGCACTACCTCACCGCAGGTAACTTCTGGCCACATAGTTTTGTTTTTTGAACTTGATAAATGGTATGCTTGATTATGTAATTGTGTTCGTTAAATTTTGGATTTAGATTCTGGATTTGGTCATTCTTATCGGCTGTCTAATTATAGCTGTTGGTCCTTAGATTTACCTACACAGAAGTGCTATCATTTCTGAAAAGAGAATCACACATCTTTTTTCATATGCTCACTTAGGGTCATCTTGGAGAATGCTAAATGATCATTTTAGAGCATTCTCACAGTTCTTTTCCCAGCACCATGCCAATCTAGGTCAAGGAATATAAGATGATCTTGCAGATATTGCTAATTTTGATCTGTTTATCCCTTTTCCCATCTAAGGAGTCTGAAAACTCTGAGGGCTCTGTGGACCTTTTATGTTCGCACACGTGTCTACTCCTGGTTAGTTGTAGCTGTGACCCATCTGCTATGGGTGAAAACTGAAAAGCAAAACACAGCATTTTCCATATATAATATCTAATTATCATGGTAACAAGGCAAATCAGTGGTAACTATTTATTGTGAAAAAAGAATTCAAAAGATTGCTTATATTTCTGTAAATTCTTGGGTGAGGGCATTGTTGGTAAATTTTGGCTATCATTAGGACTGCATCAGGGGGCAGCTTTGAGCCCTTATATTTTTTGCTTTGGTGATGGATGAGATCACAAGGGATATACAAGGAGATATCCCATGGTGTGTGCTCTTTGCGGATGATGTGGTGCTAGTTGATGATAGTCTGACGGGGGTTAATAGGAAGTTGAGTTATGGAGACAAACCTTGGAATCAAAAGGTTTTAGGCTTAGTAGAACTAAAACCGAGTACATGAGGTGTGGTTTCAGTATTACTAGGCGCGAGGAGGAGGTTAGCCTTGATGGGTAGGTGGTGCCTCAGAAGGACACCTTTTGATATTTGGGGTCAATGTTGTGGAAGGATGGGGGTATTGATGAAGATGTGAACTATCGAATCAAAGCCGGATGGATGAAGTGGCGCCAAGCTTCTGGCATTCTCTGTGACAAGAGAGTGCCACAAAAGCTAAAAGGCAAGTTCTATAGGATGGCGGTTTGACTCGCAATGTTGTATGGTGCTGGCCGACTAAAAGGCGACATGTTCAACAGTTAGGTGTGGCGGAGATGCGCATGTTGAGATGGATGGGTGGCTACACGAGGAAGGATCGAGTCCGGAACGATGATATACAAGATAGAGTTGGGGAAGCACCAATTGAAGAGAAGATTGTCCAACATCGTCTGAGATGGTTTGGGCATATTTAGCGCAGGTCTCCAGAAGCTCTAGTTCATAGCGGACGGCTAAAGCGTGTGGATCATGTCAAGAGAGGTCGGGGTAGACCGAATTTGACATGGAAGGAATCTGTAAAGAGAGATCTGAAGGATTGGAGTATCACCAAAGAACTAGCCATGGACAGGGATGGGTGGAAGCTTGCTATCCATGTGCTAGAACCATGAGTTGGTCGCGAGATCTTATGGGTTTCACCTCTAGCCTACCCCAACTTGTTTGGGACTAAAGGCTTTCTTTTGGCTTTGTTGTTGTATTAGCGGCAAACAAACAAAGTTAGGCTTTGGCCTAAGTTTATTTTCATGGTGCAAAAATGGCAGCTTTTTTTTCTAATTCTTTATAGGGTTATGCTTGCACTATTAACCTTAATTATGCTAGCTGTTCTGCATATTTATCTTTTCCCTTCTTTTTCCGATCGATATCTCTAAGATTGTTAGATGTTGTTCACTGCTAGGATATAGCCTATATGCTTGAGACACGGAGAAGAAAAAATGAAGTAGGATTCCTCCCAGCCTATACTTTGCTCTCTTTATTTGACACCTGCCATGCTTCCTCCTTCAATGATATTTACTGTTTTAATGGCCCACCTCTATTTGGTGCCAGAGTCATGGTTTTTAAGGCATTGTCTAAGCATTTCTTCAGCGCTAAGGCGCCCTAGGAGGAAGGTGCCGCCCTTGCCTTGACCATCTAGCACATGTTGTCTACAGAGAAGCATCTGCCGCCGTTTAGTCCTCACCACAATGTTGATGTGGTTGCTCCGAAGGCTTGGAAATGGCGTTCCTTTACTGAAAAAGGCTTTCGCCCCGCTTTATAAATAAAGCAACCACCGAGCACAACATTCACAAAGTACCAGTCGCGAACACACACACAGCCATCGCGAACATGGTCTCACACACAAGCACACACACAGAGAAGTTCAGCTGTGGGCACAACCCAACTAGCCCAACACACACACACACAAACAAATGGCGGTGGCGACGGCGACGCAGGGAAGATCTAATCCAACTCTGGAGGTGGTGGGGGAAGCGGCGGAGCCAACCGGAGAGCCATCGCGCGAAGCTGGGTGATGATGAAGGTGGTGGCGTCTCTCTCCTTGGGACGGCTAAGCGGCTGCCAAAGCTGCAAGTACCCAGACCATTTAAACAGAGCGTCAGTAGCGCGCCGAAGAGGTATACGCTGAATCACGAGCCTATTCGTAAGAGTCCACAGCGTCCAGGCGAGCACACCGACAGTCAGCCACCTAATGTGGCGAGACGAGGGTGGTGATGCCTGAAGTTCGACGAAGAGAGCGGGGAAGTTGTTGTGGTCCCAACTTCCGCCCATTAATTCGCAGAAACAACTCCAAAGGAACTGCGCGGACACGCAAGAGAAGAAGATATGGTTCGAGTCTTCTTTGGGCCCGCAAAGCGGGCAACAACCGTCACCAGGGCCGTTGCGCTTCAAGACTTCCATGCCGGATGGGAGGCGGCCGCGGATCCATTGCCACAAGAATATTCTAATCTTTAGGGGGAGCCGGATCTCCCAAATGGTGGTGAGGGCCTCGGGGCCCGGGGAAGGGGCGATCGCCTGATATAGTGATTTAGTGAACTGGCCAGATGGCTCTAGCCGCCACCTGGCGCGGTCAACTCCCCTCGCGAGGTCAGGCTCGTGCAGAGCAATGCAGTCGAGCAGGTCATGCCAATCGGTGGTGTCCACAGGACCAAACGATCGCCGGAACGCGAGTTGCCCTAAGTTAGTAAGGGCCACCGCAACCGAAACCCTAGGCTCCACCGCAATGGCGAACAGGCCAGGAAAGCGGGCCGCAAAGGGGGCGTCCCCAGCCCAACGGTCGAACCAAAACAGCGTGGCAGTGCCTGATCCAACCGCGATCGAAGTCCCAACGCGGAGGACAGGGAGGAGCTGTATGATGGATTGCCAGAACTGGGAGCCCCCAGACCGCTGGCAGAAGGCGAGAGGCTGGCCACGGAGGTATTTCTGCTGGATGATGCGGAGCCACAGACCGCCCTCTCTGTTTGAGATCCGCCAGAGCCATCGTGTTAGCAGAGCGATGTTCATGCATTTGGAGGACATGATCCCGAGGCCGCCCTGATCACGAGGCTTGCATATCTCACTCCACCGCACCATGTGGTACTTCTGCTTATCGCCCTCACCAGCCCAGAAGAAGCGGCCCTGGACGCGAGCAATCTCATGATGCAACGTCTCGGGCAGGCTGTAGAAGCTCATAATGAATAGAAGCAGGCTGGACAAGGAGGAGTTAATGAGCATGGACCGAGCTGCTTTCGAAAGCCATCGCCCCTGCCAAGGTTCGATGCGGTGCTGGAGCTTGCCCACCGTAGGGCGCAACTCGGCTACAGTTAGCCGCGAGTCAATAATGGGGATCCCCAAATAAGTTGTGGGGAAGCTCCCGAGCTGACAATTATTTGGTCCGCGATGCTCTTGCATTCGTCTTGAGGATGGCGTTCCTTTCACCTGCCTACACTGGCATGCATCTAAGCGTGTCTGTTTTGCCCGCGGCTTCTCTTTTCCGATCAACTACTCTACCATGTGGGAAAGGAGGGGTTGTGTCTTATGTTGTGAGGGATAAGTTAGGCATGTGGTGTTACTTGTTTCTATTGCCGGGAAAGGGGGAAGATGAGTAATGTTGTGACTATGATGAGCAATGTTCCAAATATCGGCCAGTTAAGCGGCATCTCAGTTAATCGCTACTCCGTGGGTCACCGAATAGCCGATTAACTGGTCGATTTGCCTATTTATACATAATTAGCACCCGACCGATATGGTACTAGTTACTGATATCCTCAACATTGACGATGAGAAAGAATGGAGGGATAGTGGCAATTGTGTCGCAAGAGGGACAAATGAGTTATTAGATGGCTTTTCGGGTTGTGGGGACGGTGTGTTTATGGCCAGTGACCTGCCATTCAATATTTTTGTTTCTCTCCTAATATGTTCCAATTGATATGTTCCTCTAGTGTCTTAGGCAAGGCTGGCCTCTCGCCTTAACCGCTTATAGGTGAATAACGGTGTTGGTCCTCTTGGGTTACCTTTTAGTCTTAAACCATTATGAGAGCCGACAGACCATGGTTTCTATTTTTGGATTTCCCTTGTATGAGTTGAATCACAACAAAGAAAGATGGTGGCCTAGCCACATCCACCTTCGGCAACATGCCAGATGCATTGGAAAATCAAGGCTACATGAAAGGACATGGTGGAGAAGATGAAGTGCAGATAGAGGATTTCATGTGACGCTCGGATGGCCATGCCGTCATCAAATTCACTAACTGCAGTACTGCACTACCAACATTGAGGCCTTGACAAGCCAAAAGTATTCGCAATTTCTTTTGAAGGGTGATGGAAACAAAAATCATGAATTACAATGTTTTAGTAATTTAGGAGCAAGTTACGTTCATATTGAAATCAAAATTTAAAATTCAGACCAAGGATAACCGAGTCAACAACCATGAGATAAACAAGCAACAATAACAAACCACTTGAGAAAGCTTAATTCGAAGGGTGTGAGGATAATGGAGTCACAACATCTACTACTTGGACTGTCACCCTCGACTAGAACTTGCCATTCTCAAAATTTTCTTAGAGGATAGTGATATAAACAAAATTCATGAATTTTATTTTTCAGTAATTTTTGGATCAAGTTGCATTCGTACTTAAATCAAATCTTAAAACTCGAACCAATGATAATGGAGTGAACAACCATGAGATAAACAGGAAATGAAAACAAGCTAGTTGAGA